ACCTCTCATTCCACTCCTACGGCAGGAGTGTCCAAGGGCGGTTTGGGCGTGGAGGGGGGGGGGGGGGGGGGGGGCAGGAGAAACGTTCTCTTACAGTAACCGTTGTCATGGCGATTGTGACGGCAGTCCCTTCCGACGTGTCACATTGTAAAAACAGTAAAAGGGGCCAGAAGCACCGACTGGGAGGGGGGGAAACAAGTCAAATCAAACGGGGATCAAACGAAACAGGGACACTAAACATTTAAATCATATATGTGCTAATTCAGTCTGAGGCGAACTGTTACTGAGGGTGGCGGTGGATGATGAGGCAGAGACACCGGCGAATGAGGACCAGCCGGGGGAAAGAGGAGTGACCTGCTTGCTCATTATGCTATTTCTGTTCCCTATGGGACACATGAAGCAGGCCGGATTGACCCAAATACCCTGGTTACAGCTAAACCCCCTTGGTTATAGGGAGGGGGGGTGTTTGGAGCTATACGTGGGGGAGAGACACCATCTCCCCGTCCACCTCGAACTCTTCCACCCCATCGGGGGCGAAGAGGTACGCCGGGGGTTTCCAGGGCGACACTTCCAGGCAGGAGGGGTATAGCTTCCCCACGGCGCAGCGGAAGTCCTTGCCCAGGTCCCAGAGCACGCGCTCGGAGATGGCCTGGCGCGGGTACCAGCGGTCGGCCGCCACGTCGTACTGGTGGATGGCGTAGCGCGGGCGCTCGTTCATGTGTGTCTCGCGCATGAATATGCAGAGCGAGCCCAGCAGCACCACGGCGCGCACGCACGGGTCCGAGTAGCGCTTGGCGGGGATGTTGGCGGCACGGCGCCACTGGTTCTTGACGACGTCGTAGACCTCCACGGCGACCGAGGAGCCGTCAACAGTGCTGGTGGGCAGCCGGAGGCCCGAGGTACTGGCCACATGCAGGCCGCCCACGTAGAAGATGAGGTCGCCGAGGGCGGCGGCCGAAGAGAAGCAGCGGCTGGTCTTGCGGGAGGCCACCTCTACCCAGGTGTCGGCCTCTGGCGAGTAGCAAAACGTCAGGTCGTGGGCCAGAGCATAGATGCAGCCGCGCGCCGACACACAAGTGCTCCAGCTCCAGGAACACGGCAGTGGGCTCACCGTGCTCCACTGGTCCTTCTCCCAGTCGTATCGCTCCACGGTGCGCCGGTTCAGTTCTCCGCCGACGCTGTCGCCGCCCACGGCGTAGATGAAGCCCCTGCAGTGCACCAGCGAGGGCCGGACGCGGGCACACAGCATGGGCGTCTTGGCCACCCAGACGTTCTGCTGGGCGTCGAACCAGAAGAAGCTGTCCACCGAGCGGTAGACGGCCTGCGTCTTGCCGGCCTTGCCGTGGTTGGCCACGGCCGCCTTCAGCGGGATCTGGCCGCCGGCGATGAAGATGTCATTGTCCGGCGTCACCAGCGTGCCCACCTTCTGGAGGTCGCCAGGCAAGTTGCAGAGCTTGTAGACCTTCTCGGCCTGGGGGCTGTAGCACACGGCCGAGTGCAGGGAACCCGAGCCGGGCCCGTCGGCTGGAGACTCCGACGCCGCCTCCACGAAGATCAGCATCTCCTCTTTGGTCATGCCCAAGCGCGGCTTGAAGAACTTGGGCATCGACTTGTAGAGGCCTTGCACGGCCACGGATTTGTCGTTGGGCGGTAGGCCCTGGAACCAGGCGCGCTGGGTGACCTCGGACAGCGTGTCGATGCGGATCTGGCTGAGCACTGAAGACAGATGCTGCGACCGCGATTCCATGTCATGCTCCAGCCACAGCATGGCCGCCTCGCGCACCGTCTCCTCCTTCTCCACGTTGAGGTTGTCGCTGCTGAGCACGTCCAGGAGAAGCTCATGCGACAGCTGCAGGAAGGCCTCCTGCTTGTAGACGGCGGGGAACTTGTGCTCCACCATGCGCTTGGCGCTCTGCTTGAGCTCGGCGCAGCTGAACATGTCCCCGATGCTCAGCATGCGCACGCAGTTGTCCACGTTGATCTTCTTCACTAGGTACTCGCGGCACTGAAGAAGCACATCCTCTACCTGTGGGGGGGGGGTGGAGTGGAATTCTTTTCAGGGAGGTAGTTTTAATTTTTATGGTGTCCTCTGAGACAGATTTTGAAGATATAAACTAAAAAAAAACATTAATGGGAAAATTCATATTGCAATGGATCCGTCAAACATCACAACAAACTTACGTTCACTTGAGGTGGTTTTTGTGGCGAGTCCAAAAACAAGAAATTTGCGAAACTGCAATGGAAGATGCATGGTACATAGAGAGTCATCAGATCTAGAGCAGGGGACGGCAATCCATGGCTCTTTGGTTGTCTGCTTAGGGCTCCAATGCAGGTTATCATGCATACATACACTACTAACTACACTGACAGTTGAGTAGTACACTTCCAATGAAATTCAGTAAGCACGGTATAATATGTGGTTGAGAATGCACCTTTACGGCCGGCGAGAACGCTGTAGATCGTATACAGCGCCTCAAAAAGTCTGAAAAGGCTTCCACAAATGTCACACATTGATTATCGGTGGCTTGTGACTGAATAATAATTGGTCCACTCGGTATCACTTCTCATTTTTAAGCTAGGGAAGAGGCTTTGAAAAGTAACCTATAGCAGTGTAATTATTGAAACAAATCTTTTTTAAAACAAATTGTGTGTCACAAGGCAGCTAAAAACGGATCTCAAAATGTCAAAAAAAGAAAAATAAAACTAATATTGAGAATTTAAAGATGGATGGACAGAGGTGTACAAATTCAGTTACGCCATCAGGTTTTCCCATGTGCTTAAAATGCCAGAAGAAAAAGACGAAATAATACTAATGTTGTGCCGATATATTGAGGTTGCGTAAAATAGCACGCCTGCTTGACCACAGCTGCTGAAGTAAAACGTGTAAATGACCTGTTCAGTTCCATTTTTGTGCCTGTATTTTTGGACAGCTTCTCGATATCCAGCCTGTACAGAGACACTGATTAACAAGCAAGACTGCAACCTTTCACTGTTCAGGCAGCTTCGGAGTTTAGCACAGTTGCTATTTTGTGGCATCTCTGGAAATTATAAAACACGGAAATCCCTTCACTGACACAAAATACATTAACGGACGTTTTATCAAAGTAGCACAACACTTCTTGACCAATTTCAAAAATAAGAATGATATAATTAAGAAAATAAGGGACATTCTGCTTTCCATGGAACAAAGAAAATAATTTGTTTACATTTTGTTATTGACCTCAAATAAAAAATGATGCTGACTTTTTTGGAATAAAATTTCAGCTTCCAATGGTTTTCATTTTTCTAAGAAAAATAAAAATAAAAAATCCAGAAGCGCGCTCTCTCAACTGGGCTGCCAACCCCTGTTGTCGCCTGCTAACTCGTGGAAAGCCTCCGTCCATGCCGAAATATGAGACGTTGATCTTAATGTCACGGGAGGAAAAACGGCAAATATTTGCATGACGTCAATTAATGGAAACTCAACCTACTTGCAATTTCACTTTGTCGACTTAAAGAAAATTCTTTAACAAATTGCGCAAATCGTTAGCAAAACACACGGCTACTGAGTGTTTAGGGACAGACACAGCAAAGTCCGTAACTGATCTTCAGAGACTTGTACCACTGTCTGATCCATCTGTCAGCTTCACCAAACCTCTGCATCCACAGAACCGATTTTACAAGCCGACAGCAACTCCAGTTAGAACACCTCTCCTACCGAAGCTTGGGGGTGGTGCCCTTGCCCTGAGCTCCTGGGTTGCAAGTTCTACCACCTGCCCCATATTTGTGTGGGTCTCCTTCAGGTCCTCTTCTTGTGTCCACAGTCTAAACTGACCTGCTACATAGCTGGCCCTTGGTGAGTGATAGACCAGCCTGCTATCCACGCTCACAGAACCAGGATGTGGACCCCCAGAACAGCGTGCAGCAGCTTCTGGAAGATAAGGCTCACCTGTAGGAAGCAGGCTGTCTCGTACAGGGGTTCCACGGTGCCGTCGGAGATAGCCAGGTTGCCCGTATACGCGTAGGTGACGATGATCCGGAGGGCGGCAGAGTTAACGCTGTGCAGATGGACCCGGCCCTGCCGGCTCTCGCTCAGCCCGCTTGTGAACATAGCCCTGCAAAAGAGGCACGGCAAAGCATGGAGTCTTCCTCAGTGAAGTATTCACCTGCTGCCACAAGGGCGGCGCCACTGAGCTCGGGGCAAACCTAGATGGACCCACTCACCTGAAGTAGGAGCTACAGGTGGCCAGCACCATCCTGTGGCAGGGGATCTCAGCATCCTCCACCACCAGCACCACATCCGTCAGCAGTCGCTGCTCAAAGAAGACCCTGAGCTGCTCCAGTAGGGAGACGGCATAGTCCGTGTTGACCGGCCGGGGCTCACTGTAGCCCGACATGGTCGCATCCCCCAGGCCGCCGCCTGCTCCTGAGTCTCGCAGCGGGGACGTCTCGGGCCAAGCTCCGGAAGACGACGCGGAGGGCAGTATGTATTTACACCCTGATCAACACGCTGAAGCACATATATTCGGCAACGGAGCGCAAGACGTCTGACGCTTGAGTATACGGCACACGCCCGAGGTAGACAGGAAGGGTCTTCACACACGGTGATCTGTCAGCAGCAGGTCCAGCGTCTGCGAGACGAAAAGGCAGGACACCCAGGGGGATATTAACAGACGATCCCAGGTCTGTATTATTTTGTTGTATTATGTCACTGAACTGTCACACAATTTGACATTTTGCTCGCTTAGGTGTCACCTTTACAGGATATGAGCCGCAATCAAAATGTCTATATAAAAGAATGTAGCCTTTCCCTACTCAGAACCCTATCTGGAGGTGCCTTCATCGTACTGTCGTTATCTTCGTGCATTTTAAAGATTTAATGTGCAAACTATAAAGTTTAGCCTTCTTAAATATACTGCACAATAAACAACTATATTAAACAAATAAAGTAGCAGCCCGATTTACGGTAGGCATGCATTCACACATGGTGGCTAAGAACTTCCTGCCAAGGCTGGGTTTTAACATTTTCAATACGAAATATCTATCTGCCTGTGTGCTATTCTACCGCCGTAACATCGCTGATATTCAGCTCTGGTCACAGGTATAAAAAACCAATAAAAAAAGAGCCGAGGCTAATTAAGGAAGGGAGGAAATGCGGTCCCTAATTATGGCACCACGGTAAAGACGCCGGCTCCGCTCCTGTGTTTCGCATGCAGGGCTTTTATGAAAATGCGGAAATGCAGGACTGTCACACCAAGGCAGCCTGACATCAGATCCCCGCTCCCAGGACACATATTACTCCCAAATGCCGGTGGAAAGGGGCGCAGGGGTATCTGCCTGCTTAACCTTGCGTGTTAGTAAGGAAAGCCCGGAAATCGCCGCCAATCTCGGCATTTGGCGCCCCCCCTCCTCCCGCCCGCATGGCCGTGGGCTTTGGCGACCGAGGCCCCGCCGGTGCAGCGCTCCCCTACCTTGAACGTCCCGAGGTGGGGAAGGTTGTCAGCAAGTCGACGGGGTCCCGGTGCCCCAGTCTCGCACAGTAATAGATCAGCAGCTGCGGCGCTTCGCTTCCGGCTGCCGCCTGGCCGCATACACAGCGACACAGTCCCGGGATCACAGACACACAACCACACACACACACACCCCGACACTACAGACACACTTCCCGGTTAAGCAAACGCCCGTCCGGCGACGGATCCCATAAACGGCATTCAAAGGCACGTCTGAAAGCGGCGATGGAGCTCCGTGAACCCGCGTCCTACATGCTCCGCCGGTGCTGCATTCTCCACACCGCGCTTATTACACACTTACTACACCCTTATTACACTCGCATTAACGCGCGCATTGGCGAGTGTGTTACGTGCATCCGAAAGCTAGAGCCCCGCTTCCTGTGATCCCCCGCACGCACACACACAGGCGCAGCAGTGCGCTCCGGAAGCCAAATTTTGCACAATTAGAGTGAAAACAGCACGGAGCCTCAGTCAACGACGCAGGCGCCGTGCGGGATCAGGGGCCAAACGGGGATACCGGGCATGCGCCCAGCCGGCAGCTGCCGGAGCGCGTCTGCGGGCAAAGGCTGCCCCCTGCTGGCCAGGCGCACTTTCAGTTTCAATGCGGAAAGTGGGTGTCCCACGTACGAAGCAGGATTTCTCAGTTAACTGGGTTAACTTACAATATAAGTCCTGAATGCTTCTTACTTAAACTCTTATTAGAAAATCGTGCCTTTTAGCTTGAGTTAGTCCAGCTAACAGAAATCTTGCTTCGGGGAACACACCCCGGCCACCGGCAAGAAGGGGGGGTGGGGGGGGTTTAGTATACCATGTCCAAATGTTAATCTTGCGTATCATTGCGGTGGAAACGGCTCTGGTGATGTCTTGCGAACCGCCAGTCCGTATGGCCGAGGGCGCTGCCAGTGACCTGACCATGCAGCGACTGCAGTGAAGAATTAATGCAAACAAGCTGAGCGTAGAACTTCCCCAGCCCAGAAAAAATAAACAAATACCTACATTTATAAGAGACAGAGTCAAATATTTGGTGTTTTTTTTGTTTGTTTAAACTACATTATTGTATTATACAGTTGAAGCTGCCCGCACACAATATCCATCACTCATTTCATATGCATATTCCCCACGCAGATTCTGTGCAACATGTGATCGGAATATTGACGGTATGCTGAATAGGTTTGCAATACTTTTCAGTAAATTCAGCTCAGGTAGTTATCGGATAAGTACCCTCTCAGTTTAGTGGCCACGGACTGCTCACCAGTATATTCATTCACATGGGCGTTGGAACCCGGGGGCTGTCCCTCCCCCAATATTGAATTCGGCAAACTCTTTCCTACGCCATTGTTCATTCGTTTTCACGAAACAATGCCCTTGGACGTCTCCCAGCTGGCCGTGCTTCATTGTTTTTTCTTTCCGAGAGGCGAATTTCCCCAAAACACCTGTTTGAGTGGTGACTAATTAGACAATTACTGGAGGGTAGTTTATAAATCCGGCGCAGCAGAGGATGGACGGGATACGCATAAATATATATTTATTAAGTTTCTGTGTTAGGCGCACTGGTTTACGGGAACACTGAAAGTATTCACCTTCACCACTGAGGTTTGTACTTTTGCATCGTTTTTGTGACCGAAATGTTTAATGCTCTTTGAGTTTTAAATTATTCCCGAAGGTACTGCATTTTTTTCTTTTTATTTGATTAGTTACAGTGACTCCACTGACTGTGTTGTGGACCTGATACCCACTTTTCGCGTTCATTTATAGTGTATTCGGGGTATGTTGTACCCGTACTTTGTTTGTCCTGAAAACACGAGAAAATATGGAAGGTAACGTATTCCGTAATACTTGGTACATTTTTTTTTTTTTTTTTTGTACGACAAAAACGTTTGTCTAATGCGTTTTCCCAATCACAGAAAACGCTCCACATTCAATGGGAAGTGGACAATCACATGCAAGCAATCACTCAAGACCGTTTTTCTACGTTCAGCCACCATCTCATCCATACTATATGTGTCAGTGGCCAATGAACAGTCCGTTTGGTCCTTATGCCTTACCTGGTTCAGGTAGGTCTGAACAATTACCACCCACCCCCCCAAAAAAAAAAACTATGCTTTTGTGTAGCATAATTCAGTGGTATTTATCATAATAAGTTGGCTGGTTTTGAATATGAGGAATGCTCTCCTCTTGGTCCTAAACTCTTACAGGTATGCCTTTTGCGCGCCCATACTGGGCTCTGTATCCCTGCATGCAGTATCCAGGCTACATGATGCCACATGCACCGATGCAGCCTGCTGACTGCAGGAGAATGTTCAGCCCCCCTTTCCCCCCCACCCACGATGTCCGATTCCGCCACCAGCATCACCATCAGAGCCGTGTGCGGCGAGAGACCGCCTGCTCCGAGGTCCAGACCGACCCCAGCGACCTAGTGAATGAGCTGATTGAGAGCTTCAGCAGGTTCCGGAGTTTCTCTGTAGCCTCTGAGACCAGGAAGGAGCTGGATTCCGGTGTGGTGTCCCCGGGGGCTGGATTGTATGTGCATCCTGGGTGTGGGGACAAGGGGGAGGGGCTAACCACGGAGCTGGAGCCCCTGCCTCAAAGGCAGAGACCCACCAGGAGCGTCTCCCCTATATCTGCAACATTGGTGGAGCCCATCAGCACGACCTCTGGCATTAAGCTGAGACAGAGCTCCCATGAAGACCATGTTGAGTCAGACGGTTGGCCTTTAGCCTCTGAGGTTCCACCCTTGGACAGCTCCTCTGTGCATGAGGAGACTGCTGAGGATGATGATGACGAGTTAGAGCAGGACTACATGCCTGAGAAGCTCCACCTGGCTGATGCACTTGGAGCTGAAGCCCAGTTGCCAGGAGTGACTCGGGCCCGACCGGACTGCCAACCAAGCGATACGGGGCCCCCAGACACCGTCTCTGCTCAAGGTGCTGACCCCGCCCAAGTGGGGTCTCCCCCAGCTGTGTCGCCTGTGAGTCGAGAGAGCATAGAGAAAGGTAGCCAGAAGACGAGGATTCCCCAGGTAGAAGGAAAGGATTTCTCTGAAAAGCCCACCCTTGACTTTGAAGATCTGCCCTGTAGAATCTTGCGACTGCCTTGCGATAAAGTTGCAGCAGCTGGCGTGTTCCAGAAGGGGAGTCCCTTCTGGTGCATGGATCCAACACTCATGACCGCCCCCAGCTACCTGTCCTCCTTTGGGAATGCTCTATACTGCAGTTACTACCCCCAAACAGCCCAGGAGAGGCAGAGTGTCCTCAGCCCCTCCTTGGATGAGCTTTCCTCCAGGGATGAGCTGTTCTCTACTGACCTGGAGGACCTGGACTTGGTGTCGAGTCAGGGATACACCAGCAGCGGGAGGGTGTCTAAGGATGTCCAAGAGACCCATCTCCATGCTACAGACAGTGATGTTCCAGACCACTCCTTCCAGGAGCACTGTCCTGTCTGCCCGAAGAGAACGTGCTCAGTGTGTGGGATGCGTCTGTCAAAGGAGGCCCAGAGGAGAGCCTCTGTTGGGCCTGGAAGCTGCAGCAATCTGGAGAGGGGGCTATCCGATGAGGAGATCGAAGAGGAGGATGTTTCCAAGAGTGCTGCTGGCCAATGGAAGGCTCCAGTCGGCAAGCACCATGTGAAAAGGCACTCGCATACGCCAGTTTGCCAGCCCTCCAAACAGAAGTACAAGCAGGGATATTGTGAACATGAAGAGCAAACCAACCTTGAGCACCAGGACCAGGCTTACGTACGGGAGCCAGAGTGCTGTGATGAGCACAAGGCTTTGGCCAAGGCTCGGGATCAAGACTCAAAATGTGGCCAATCCTACCTGTGCCCAGGTATGAACTTCAGCTGCTGATATGTATGCAACCAGCTCTTAAGTGTGTGCCATAGCTAATTTAGCTAGATTTTTAAAATCGATTGACCAGTGTACCTGGTTACACTGTGTACTATCTGCACTTGGTCACTTTGACAATGTTTGTTTTGTGTGCTGTATTCCTAGCTTAAGCTAGAAGTACTGTCTCTCTCTGGGATCAATAGTTAGCCTAATAAAAAACAAACTGGCCATACAGTAGTCCCACCCATTGCAGTAATTGTTTTATTTTTTGATCCATTACAGAAGGTAAACACACCTGCCACGTCTCTGCTCTGCTCTTTGCCTCTTCCAGACAAACGGCGGCGAGAGGACTCTGCACCCTTAGACCAGGAGCATTCTGCTCTGAAACAAAGGCCCAAGTCCACAAAGCTTTGTTCACGGGGACAAGGTAGCATTCATGTTCCTGTGATTTCAATTGGTTGGCCTGACGTAAAATTTTAAGGTGCTTTTTACTAGTGTGTGTGTGTGCGTGCGTATGCGTGTGCGTGTGCGCGTGCGCGTGTGAGAGCTCTACACGCGTTCTGCTGTGTATGTGTTCGGCTTTGCTCCTGTGACTCCGCAGAGAGACCTGCTCGAAGAAGAATGCCCTTCAAGACTGAACATCAAAGGGCCAATAGGAATGATTATGATGAGCCTGACGATGAGAATCCACCACACCAGAAGGGTAAAGGTGAGCCATTCATGTCTGTTGGATATCTGTGGCAAATCTGATAAATCTACACCACTTGGTTGTGGCAGAATATGACACTGTAGTACAGTATGGGACACCCATAGTCTTGCTTGAACATTAACCTTTTATTCCTCTGGGTCTATTCAGGGTCCACAAAGAGAAGAGGTACAAGATGCTGATCAGAAATATTGCTTTTTAATTTGGCAGGGGGGGGGGATTCACTACAATGCACAAGGATATCACTCAATCCAGGAAGCGATGCAATGCAACAGAATCACTGCATGGCAGAAGTGGTGCTTCACTGCATGGCAGAAGTGGTGCTTCACTGCATGGCAGAAGTGGTGCTTCACTGCATGGCAGAAGTGGTGCTTCACTGCATGGCAGAAGCCCCATTTGATGCGTATGCAGACAGTGGAAAAGTGACCAGAGGCCAACTCTTGCAGTCCCTCAGTTCTGAGCTTGCAGGACAAGAGCCCTGGAACTCCTGGCTTGAATAGGGCAGGACCAAGGCACTGAACGCACAGTTAGATTAAAGGATCGATTGACTGGCTGGTTCCTGGAGCTGCAGTGTCTTGCTGTCTGTATGATGCGTTTGTATCAGGTGTGGTGGTGTAATGTTAACTTGACATCCATGTATCTGCATAGTGTTCATTAAAATAGCTGCATTGCACTTAACAATTAGGCTTGAATGAGTGTGTCTTTCTAACTACCTGTGGGTCTGTATACATACCCAAAAAGCTCACATCTCAATTTCTTTTAAAAGTATCAGATGGTTCAAGATGGTAAGTGTACTTTACTGCAGCCCTGGTGTCAGTTTTGACCCCAAACTTCAAAACTGTACAAATTTCTTTAATGGTTTCATTAGCATTTCTGCGGGGCTTTTAGACCCCCTGTGCTATGAAAGCAGGACCTACTTCAAAGGACTAGATTCGCACATTTTCACTTCTGCAGAACTGCAGTCCAGCTATTCATTTTTAAATCTCCTCTATAAACTTGTGTAACTGCACATCATTGATATTTAATATTTAATGGTCTAGTCTTCTCTCGTCCCTTTTACCAGTCTGGAGCTGGGAACTCTGTATGACTGTGGTGAATCTTTACCTTGACAGGGAGAAGTAGGGTTATTGTTCAAATGAGTCATTATGTCTACAAACACCAATGATGTGCTTTGCTGAAGGACTTGATTGTCCCAAATTTATATGCTGATTTCAGGCTGTAGTTCTAATTTGCTAAAGTTGTTTATAAATGATATTAATTTATCAGTCTGAATCAATACTTGCCAAATGCCAGTGTTTGTGCATGTTAAAAACTTTGAATATGTTGTCAAATGCCAAAACTTCTCCGGTACTCTACCTACATGCATTCAGATTATGCACCAGACCTTGCTGATGTCAGGTGAACATTGAAATTGGATATAATGTAGACACTTAATGCCCTGGTTGTAATCACGTTTCACTGCTCCCACATTGGATTTTTCCACGATTCAATAGGCAAATCATTTTGAGATGGTGTATTAGCTTCAATAAGTACAATTAATTAAAAAAAACCTTTAAGACCTTTAGTTTGTATCTAAAATGACAAGCTAGAAAACAATTTAAGGCCATATTATCAAACTAAAGGCAATAGCCTAAGTGAAATTAGTTATTCTCAAAGTAAATAGATATAGACAAATATTCAAACAACACAAAACTAATAAACACTAAAAGGAAACCCAATGCATGCTGGATACACATTGTCCTTATCTACAGGAGGATTCTGCACACAATCATGGTGGAACCATCTGTTGCAAAGATCACAGCGAATTTAAAAGGAAGGGTGAGTGTTTCCATTGAAGTATAGTAAACACTTTTTACATTAAAGATTCAAAGCAATACAAATTATAATAGGAAATGAGGGCAGATTGCTGCCTAAATGTAACAACTGTTTTCCTAAAACACCAATATATATTAAAAAATGGATGAGAAGAAAAAGCGCGAGGAGTCTATTGATAAAGGTGCTCAACTTAAGGGCTGTAAAGAATGTTTCACTATATTATTATTAATGAATCTTAATATAAGCTTATCAGTAATGCATTGCAATATTGTAGCAATTCCCCATAGCCTGCCAGACTCCTTCAACCCACATGAATTGTAAAGGTTGCTCAGACTGTGAAGAAACGCCAGGAATGCTGCAACCGTCATTTTGTACATAAGTCACATGCTTTAACCGAAACAAGTTTTATTAACCTTTGCATGTGCTAAACACGAGTAACAATGGCTCCTCCGTTTTTAAGGCAATCACAACAGGAAGAGTTTAATGGTATAAAACAATCCTTGAGCAATTAAAAAAAAATGGTAATATGTATAATGTCAGTTAGCGTGAAGGGAGAAAAAACAAAGGCTACAGAATACATCATCCTTGGCGGAATTTCAGAAACGTATACATGGTTCCTATTGCATGAGGACACAGGCGAGACTAGAGGTGAGGACACAGGTGTTAGATGATATTATTGCGTAAGGTTATTCTTTATGATAAAATGCTAATTAAAAAATCTGAAATTTAAAAACAGTGGGGAAAAAATCTCCCCCTCCGTATAATCCTCTTTGTTGCAGCCAAACTATCGAGCATTTTAGTTTACGAATAGGACAACAGGTAACAGCAGAACAAATTTAAAGTCAGTCTGACCTTCCAATTTAGAGATAAGGCGGGGCGGGGTATTTTGGCAGGGAGGAAAATCACATTTCACTGCCGTGTTGCACTTGTATTACTGCGCATTTTACACATCTTGTTTATTAACATTTTTTTATTAAAACCATTGTTAGAAAAGTATTCGCAGTTCACCGAAAGGGGCGGGGGAGGATCTGGTAGGGGGGAACACCTGTTTGACGCAGTTATTTTAATAGCCAAACTGAAATACGTTCCAGCTGAATTGTTTAAAACTCATCCCTGATTTGCTTAAGATATGTAAAGGATTGACATTTTTAAGTTGATTACCCTTAACGCTCAGTTAGGTAAAATAGTATGGTAAATGTAACACTACCACGTGCATCCATAAAATGGTACTTTGCGCCATCGGTTGTTTTTGACTTTTTTTATTTAAGTTGCTGTGTCTTTAATAACATGCATTGTCTTAAACTGCACGATAGCATATATTAAGTGGGAGACCGGAAACCTCGTGTTCATTTCGGCGGCTTTTACCGCGTTTGACGTGACGAAGCAGTGTGCACGGACCGCCTCTAGGGCGCGCCAAACCCGCGTATATTTAAGCGTGGTTTCAGCAGCTGTTCCTCATCCAAGGGAGGGAGGCACCGCTACCGCACGCGCAAGTACGACACGGTGCCTTACAGCGCGTTTGATGGCGGCGATGAGCGAGAAATCCCGTTTCTTATGAAAATGGCTTCCAAGAGTAGTTTGGGTTTTATTAGTGCTCTCGGAGTTGTGTTTGAATTACGGGAAAACTTGGATAATTTATAGGCTGATATGGGACCGAATGTCAATAATACAAACGTTTGTCGTAGCTGTTCCGTAGCGTTTATTTGCATTAAGTTGTACTCTCCCATGCCCTCTTTAAGGTTAGCGTGCTGTTTGCACCCTCTAGGTGCATGTTGTATTATTGTATTTTGCAAAGCATTATTTAAAACTCATGACTAACTCCAGCAGACATGGCAGCCGCCCGGCCGACTCTGGGTACCGTACCGCTGGGATCAGGAGGTCCATTCTTCCCGAGACCTCTGCATGCTCCCCAAGGCCTGGCCGGCACGCGCCATGTGGTACCCTTTTACATGCACCCCTCCCCACCGTACCTCCCCTGTCAGTACCCGGTCCCGATTCCTATTCCCTGCAGTCCTCACTTTGGCCTCCCAACCATGGGTAAGTTCATTTTAAATGCTTCAGGCTTACAGGTGGTAAGAGGTGCGCAGACGTAGCTTGGATATTAAACCTTGAGGGCTGAAGCAAATTTCGAGGAGGGTTCAAACTAGTAACTTTACTTTATGGTTACATGCCTGATCGGTAACAAAAACTATAGGGTGTTCGAACCCGGTATTTTGTTGCGTTTCTACGGGCCCCTGTTAATTGGATCTGGCATTTGGCAGCTAACTGAAGTAACCTTTTTGGATGGGGCTGTTTGATAATGAAACTGAAGTATGTGATTCATTTCTGTACACAAAGTTCAGTTTGCCATTAAGAATTTGTACTGTTCTATCTTGGGGAATTTTCTGAGCAGAACATATGGTCAGGGGAAGATCCTACATTAACATTAATGCTGTGGGACAGGGATCTCCACTACTATTCAGTAGGTTTTCTATCCTACCTGGGGCCTGTACTACGAAGCTGGGTTACTGGCTTATCGGGGTAACTTGTCGGATTTAAGGTAGTCTGGGCAAAATGTAAGTGAATGAATATGAAGTCAATTTAAACTGTGGTACCTTAAATCCAAGAAGTTACCCCGATAAGCCAGTATCCCTGCTTTGTAGTACAGGCCACTGGCTTCTGATGAGCCACATCTTTTCTCTGGTAAATACCAGGAACAGGTGCGGCTTATGAGAAACCGGGTGTAATGGAAAACCTTCTGGATAGTAGCTCTCCAGGATCGGAGTTGGAGCCGCATGCTGCAGGCCGCCGGTCCTGTTCCTTCTGCCGCGTGTGTTCCGTTAGTTTGTGCTGCGTGGACTAGATTCTTCGTGGCATTTACATGCTTTCCTGTTCATTGTCTTTCCAAGGTTTAGGCATGGCCATGTTGCCAAACCCTTACATGGACGTTCCTGGGTATGTCCTGCAGTCTTCCCAGTTCCCTTTGACAGACTTCAGGCAGGTGGTGGACCCTTCCCTCATGAATCTTTATCCCCAGAGGTTCAGACCGCCAAATCCTGGCTCGACGCAGGTGGTCAGCTCGGGGGTGCAGACAGAGCCACCAGCCGCCGTTAAGCATGTCACCAACTCCGACATGAAGTCCGAGTCGGGGAGGGGGACTGATTGTGCAGCCTCGGGGTCCCCTCTGACTTCCCCAGGCTCCAGCCCCCAGACCAGTGTCTACTTGCAGCCAGACAACCAGGCATGTCTGGGGAATGAGGGCTATGTCACCCAGGAGGATATCAGAAGGGCTTGTGGAGAAATTCTGCCAAAGGGTGTTTGCCTGCACGTGCCTTTGGCAGGGATGTCTGCTCTGATGGGATCCGCCGGCGCACATTCTGCGCAGGGTGACTGTGGGCCAGCAGATGGCGCTGCCTTTGCATACAGACCCCCACTGCATAGCAGTAGCCACTGTACAGATGCAGATGTGGGAGGGCGACAAGTTCCAGGTGTCTTGGCGCAGGAGGAGTCCCAGTCATCCAGCTTGGAGGATCACGAGCGGAAGGGTGCATCAGCACCAGATCTGAGCCTGGTACATGTCAAGTCATCTGTATGGGAGAAGGAGGAAGAGGAAGAGCAGGCAAGCGATGCTGAAGACGAGATGTTTAAGATAGTCAGGCTGCCCTTTGATGGGCAGTTTGTGGCGGCATGGCGGGAAATGGCAGAGCAGTCTGTGTGGTCCGTCGGGTCCCTACCGTCGCTGGTTCCCTCGCCGCAATGGCTGGCGCGCCACGGGCTTGCGTCCGGTGAGAATGGGTCCGCCGATGCTGAAGCTTGTGCGGTTTGCTCGAAGCCGGGTGAAGACGTATCCCTGGTGGTCGCTGTGACGGAAGAGCGCCAGAGGTTCTCATCGTCGTCAGACTCGCTGCCTCCTTACGTTCCCGCCGCGAGCTGGCTGTCCGAGTTCAGACACGTGCACTGCTGCGGCTGGCCGATTCCTGGCGCCCGGGAATGCTGCATCGTGTCTCGTGGACGACGGGGAAGGCAAGTGAGAAATTTCAGGGGATAAGTCAAAAGCCGTTTGAGTCTGACGGGTCTGCTTGTGTCCATCTGCAAGATTAGATGAACTTTATTGATCCCAGGGGGAAATAAAGCACTGCATGTAGAGCACTGCCAGACATACAGTGCAGAACAAAGTTCAAAGACATTATGCATAGTGCATGCAAGTAAATGCAGTGCACACAAATTGAAAAGTACAAGGTACCCAAATGCAATTTTGAAAGGATCTTGAAATATTAATGTATATTAGGGCAAAATAATACTGAATGGGTAAAATGAATTGGAACCTGGTAACTGGGGAAGTGCTCATTTTAGTGTATAAATTAGGGCTGTTCTGCATATGTCACCTACATGTATGTAAGATCTGCTTGCTTGAATCCCATTACAGAGAAGCCACACAGAGCAGCAGAAGCCCCAACTGCATCTAGGGAAAGGGTTTTGGATCAGGCTGAGGGGCTGGAAGCAGGAGCTGCAAGGTGGGAAATTAGTTTATGCTGATGCTGACCTTCAGTCGTCGGCCTCCGATAATGGGCCGAAAACCGGGGCCGTCGTTTATCTACAGAACCTGAATGTGGTCTAGTTTTCAAATGCCTGGGAAGGATGGACTTGCTGAATGTTAAACTGGAGGCAGGTTTTCTTGCTGAAATCTCATCTCGTGGTATTGAGATTTAAGTCATTTTTGTTCTGATTTCTCCCCCCCTTTTCTTTTTAGGAGCTGGTATAGAACATTGGCCTTCCAGAAATGTACAAATGGAGAACTGGTTTTAAATGACTTTTTGAACGTTTAATAAATAGTAAATATGACAAACTAGGTGGTCTTCATTTGAGGTTCTGTCTTGTATGAGTACTACAGCTAATATATCTAGAACAGACAGTGACTGGCTTTTGACCTGATCCCTAATGCTCTCTAATGAAATGGTGGTTCTCTACATAAAGGTGTCATACTTTCAGGTACTCATTTAAGGCTGTGACCAAATGATGTGCTTAAAACTCATACTACGGCCATTGGACAGGAGGGGGTATGAGGTCAAACTTTAACACCTGAAATTTGAAGCGAGCTGTTACTGTCAAACTAAAAGAACCCGTTACACTTCCTCACAATGTTACTGGACTCCACCCTATTAATAATGTGCGATTTTAATTCTTAGGTTTTGCCAGTAGCTCAGGTTCTATGTAATCCGTTGTTAAACTTTGGCGTAGGGGTTGCATTTTAATATTATTTAGAAACTAAAGGCAAAAATACTGAAATGCTGGATATTAAATCTGAGCCCTGAGTAAGTTCGTAAGCCAATATCGTTGCGTGTGAGCTTTATTAGCCAAGATGTCGGAGTGTCTGGCGAGATGCGCTCGCAGAACTATGAAGTTATGGCCAGTAACGGGGCTCAGCCCATGAACTACTGGATTCGTGTTTATTTAAACTTACCGCAAGCAGAAGACAACTTTGAATATCCTGGTTGGGTGAATCAGATTGGTCATAGACCCGTCTAGGCTATTTTCAGTACGGGTTTAGCCCTTTAGGGTGCCAGTGTTCCTGGGCAAATTCTAATAAGAGCGAATCGAGCTGCGCATTTTATCAGGTACGGCTGCATTCGCAGTAATAGGGCTGGAAGCTCGCTATTGTGAAATTCATCATGTTGAAATATGGATAAATCACGTTTGAAAAAGGGAATTAAATGCATGAACGAGGGCTTATTTCTGAAGGTTTGAAATTGAAATGGCGGTAGGCTAGTTTTCTAAGCATCAGGACTACAAGTAGCAAAACGGTAACATCTGAAAATGAATCTACTCATGTTTTGCTGTTAACGGATGTTGCTATATATGTGACATCTAAGCTATTAATAAAAATCTGGTTTTATGGGCTGTTTATTCATGCTCTGCAAAATGATTTTAAGGTGTGTGTGAGCTGAAGTCGAACTTAAGTCTCGCACCTTCGTAAATCTGCCAACTAATCGATGATCAGCGTTTAAACTGCAGTCCTATCACAGTCAATATCCGGTGAGAGAGACTGGAGTGGTGCGGGTCAGTGTAGAATATGCAAAGGACCAGGGGCGTCTCAGCGCGCACGGTACCGCTTCTCTGCGTTGGTGCTTCATCACGCGGTTCTATGGTGTTTATTCAGCGTTAGAACGCTCGCCGTTTATTAGCGGGAAATAAACCACGCTGGGCGAGTAACACGGGACACCTGTTGAGAACAACCCTGCACGGTGGTAGGGAAAGAGGGGGGCCTGGACCTAAAGTAAATGGTTTGATGCATGCAGGGATCAGCTCGAGGGTGAAGACGTCAACTTGGGAAGGAACGGAGATGGACGTGTCGGCTGATTATTATTATTTTGGGGGGCGGTCTCGGCGGAGGGAAGTTCAATTTTTTTTTTAAATCGCGGTTATATATTGTGTGCATGTATCAGTGATTCTAAATGAATTTGTTGCGGTATAATGGCGTTACCGTTATCCAGTGACAACGGGTGGGTTGATTTTGGGAATGATTTGAAAAAGTAGGCCTATTGATGATTTGAATCACATCTGCCTTTGTTGGTTTGCTATGGTTATACATTGCAATGCGGTTAGCCTTGTGTATGCACATAGTGATTTAGATATATTTTCCAAGTGTGCATTTTTTTTAAATGCCTTCCTTCGACCCAGGGGGGGGAGTGCAGCTTTTTGTGACCACTGATTAGAATAAGCTGTAGTTGGTTTAAACACGCGGTAGGTTCTAAATTAAAGACCCCATATCATTCGTCCTGTGGGGATCCAGTGGTTTTATGAATTCATTTAATCTTTTGTTCAAATAAAGGTTTGTTGTTACCATATCCCGTTTGTTGTGTAGGCTTGTGGAACTTTAGATGACTATATAACCGGACCTTAAGAAGGTGGTGGCACATTACAATACTACACTATTTTGGGGGGTGGGGGCAGTGCGGGTACCCGATGTATTTCTATGGAGGATTTAAAAGGTCAATCCGTTTGGTTTCCAACTTTCAAACTTGTTGGCCGTCGTCCACATCACTGCCGCTTATAAATTACATTATACCCTATCAGTACCAGTGTGGCAGTGAAATACAAGCCGCTGTAAGGTCCTATATACGTATTCAAATTGTTTTCTGATTTATTGTATAAATACCGTACTTTATCGGACAGATGTTTCCTGTTTTTTCCCCAATGCCAGGCAGTTGTACCACAAAACGTTTTATGCTCGTACGCTGATAGCTTATCCCGATCTGATATTAATATTAAGGGAAGTAAATTAATAAGCACATTTTGCCACACTGCCGTGGATTCGGATATATAGACTTGATCTCCTCAGAGTAGGTAATAGACGCATTTGTGTTATAAAGCCACGATTCGCATTTTAAATTAATATAAAATACGCGATGGTTTTGAATAGTTGGTATTTCACATTACGGGACTGGGGCGCAGTGTGATCTCTCCCGTAATGACGGCGTGCTTCCTCTCGGCGGCGTGCCAGCATCCCTTTGTGTGTGACAGACTGCGGCCAGAACAAAGCCAGCATTCCAGGAGGGGGGATCAGACCCCGCGTTTCCCTCATCGTCCGAGCCTGCGAAGCGTGAAGACCCACGGTCCCGCACTCTCCACAGCCTTTGTTAAACGCTCTCACAGACACGGCGCTGAAAGACAATACCATCTGTTGGTAGGTATGTAATTTGACTTCTTTTCCTTTGCCCGTTTCTGTCGGGAGTAGGGCAGAGTACCGCTTTCTTTCGGCTGCGTCTTTACAAATGTGGATCAAAACGATAATCCCGCGTATGGATGTGCTGATGCTGCTTCTGCTTCATGGTCCCGCGTTATCTTTCAACATCCCAAAACTGCCTGAACAGCAGTACACGATTACTCTGGTTAATGATCGGTGCCCCTTTTTGTGACAAAGGACAGACGCTGTCCCGACACGACCCCAGCTGCGTCCCAGGAAAGGGTGACACTACGGAGACCTGGGCGGGGAATGAAACGCCCGGAGAGGTGCATATGGTCGGTCAGGGACTGTGCAGGTACCGGTCCTGTAGGGGTTCAGAGTCCAAGGCTCAGGGTGGGGTGTGTGTGTGTGCGTGTGTGTGTGTGTGTGTGTGTGTGGGGGGGCGGCTAGAAATATGGGTCACCGGAACGTGGAGTCCTCTGCTTCACTTTGTGTCTGGTGTTAAATAATCAGGAAATTTATGTTTTTCTATGGCCGGTAAATTTAGCTTTCAGGTGGTGAACGGGAGCCCGTTATTTAAACACACAGGCAGAATTTGTTACCCATTTTTCACTCTATGGTGTAGTTTGTGTCGATGTTGTCGTGAAGTCAAAAGTACCAGGACTGTCGTATCCCGCAAATTTCCGGGCTGCTTTTTTTTGTTGCCAGACCGCCTCCTGCACAATCAACTCCTCTCTAGAACAAAGCAGATGCTCTAGTATCACATGCAAGTGAATTCCGCTTGTACAGTATATATGTATCCTATATATGCCCTGGCGATCTGCACTGAACGGGTTCGAGGATGATGGGACGCTGAGGAAGAGATCATGTGGATAAAGTCAGCAGCTGTGTATTTCCCCGTGTGGGGTCATACCTGACCCCAAAGCGGGCCACCTTTCACCTGACCGCAGGTGAGACTGAGCAGGAGTCCGGTAGGCTTGAATGCCCGCAGCGTCCACCTCCCTGGCCAGGAGGTACCGTCGGGTCTCACGGTGCCTCGGGATGAGTTGTCCCTGTTTATCTTCCACATCTGGCTTTGGGACATGAAGCGCAGCCAGTTGGCAGGACTGGGATGTAGCCCCGACCAGAACGTCTGCTTGACAGCTGCTGTCGTTAATTAGACAGACAGGTTACTGTAATCCACAGAGAGTCATCATTCTCAATCTGTTGTGTGGCATTATGTGCCTTTGCACTGGAGCAGTCTGGGTAAAATGCCTTTCCCGGAGCATCTGCCGGACTTACACTCAGTATTTATTATGGTGTGATGATATTTCCTACATTTTGAATATTTGCGCACATATTTTTTTTCCCAGTGCACATATATATACATATTTTATCCACTCTAATGTTATTGCTTGGAACAGGTTTCTCGGACTGGTATTCGCTGTGGTGCGCAGAGAAAGACGATAACAAAAGTGGTTTAGAAAAGCAATTATTAAAATATATACATTGTATATACATTTCTTTTAGTCCATACTGTTTTGTCTGTGTTTCCACAGTTCCACCAGTAAATATATTTCTGGCCAATGTCTCTGAGATGTGCAAGTGACTGCTTAACCTGAGGTTAATTGTCAATGTGTGACATGAGCAGAGGTGTGCTAGTTTGGCCAGAGAAAGGCACCAGGAGAAGGGCTGAATGTCCTATTGATGGTGGATGTCATTGATTTATTAACTCCCGCCTGATTTTCGTGCCGACACATTTGTCAAAGACGCATACACCACCCGACGTGTCAAAGTCAGGTACGTCCAGAAAAGTTATATGGGTCTTTTAATTGACTCGTGGATACAGTGATTTAGTGGCCGTATAATATAACGGTCCAGGTTACAGGCAGATGCGGAAATTGATTTTGACTCAGATTCGATTAGAATGTCCTCAGTTTCCGTTACTCATTTTGGTAGAATATTCTGAAATTAAAATTAGTTGGGATTTTGTGGTTGACGCACATCCTGGTCGCAGATAGCCTAGTTGATGGGCTGGTGTTCTTTTGATTATTACAGAACTCCAGTGTGGTGTCAAAGCTTAGTTTTGGACTGATTTGATGACTTTCACGTGCTAATCTAGGCTACACCCTAAAACATTATTAAAACCGTCTCGGGCACCTTGATGTGGCTCAGCGTATTTGTAA